AAAAAAACTCCACCTGCATAAACTTATCTGACAACTAAATCAAACTCTTTCAATCAAATCAAACTGTTGAATTTCATATGCTGACCCCCTGCTTCTACAGTTTAAAATGGCAGGAAACACTACAGCACAGATCGATGATGCCATCTACTCCAAAGGGAAATGGATCAAGGTGCTGGACAACAATTTCCAGCTAGACCTGGCAGTCTTCAAATGCCAGAACCCAATCATTCCGGCCATAATGAAAGGTCACTATCTCTGGCCTGCACTTCACAACGCCAAACCAGTGCTAGAAATATACCTACAACAGTTCTGGGGGCACATGCACACGGATTCATTGAAGGATCGTTCCAAGATCAAGACCAAGTTGAACGGCATGCGGGTGATTCTGACACCATCCACTCTACGGACCACTCTATCGCTGCCAATACATGACGAATACGATGCACTGCCGTCCATCCCTGATCAATTGAAAGACGTGGCGTCAATAGGCTACACCTCATTACTGCCACAGCTCTCCAACTTTAACGGAGCATATCTTCACCATCCGTGGAAAAATCTATTTGGGCTGGTGAACAAGTGCATGTCGCCTAAGCATGCCGGCTTCGACAAGTGCAACAAGAAAATATTGCTGGTCTTTCATGGCATCGCGTTCAACAAGAACTACGATCTGGCTCAGCTCTTCTACTCAGAGCTAATGGACCTGGTCAAGGCCAAAGAAAAGAATAGGCCAGGTACCATTCCGTACGCTAGGTGGCTTGGGTTGATCATCAACGACCTCATGGCAGAGCATTCAACAATCCCAAAACGCAGCTCCGATCCACATTTCAAAGCCCCAAAGCTGCAATACTTCAAAGCGGACAAAAACCCGACCTATGGTCTGAGGATTCCTGGGTTTCTGCTCAACCTTGTGAGATCTTCAAACCCAGCCATTCAGCAATACAAGGAAGCAATCGAGAAGACCGTCCCTATGGTTCAGCAAAACCCAGCTGGACCTACCCAAGGGACAAAGCCGAGTGTTGGTAAGGGTACTAAGAGAGCCCAAAAGCCACAGAAACCAGTGGCCGGTTTGCCCAATGAAGGGAAGTCTGACGACTCTCTAGAGACGAGTCAGGCGACTGAGGGCACCGAAAAAGACGTTGAGGATACGGCCAATGATTCGTCGAGTGAAGCCCAAACGAACACTGACGACGAGGCTTCCGAGAGCGTGGGCACGGAGAGTGAAGAATCTGGCTCGGATGATGACGATGATGACAACGACAGTGATGATGTGGAGCTCACATATGCCCTTATCAGAAAAGGAAAGCTGCCCGTCGAATCTCCAAAGAAGAGAAGAATCACTGCTGAAGATGCAGCACCAATCATAGCTCACAGACCTCAAGTCTTCACCATAAAAGAAACAGCTAAACCAAGAGCTGATCCGAGCGAGACTAATTGCTCAAAGGATGATTACGACGTGGCAGCTCACTCCATCAAGACATCAATCAACCAGGAAGAAGTTGTCATCCGAGAGACCAGGGCTAAGGTCAAAAATGACAAGGTTGCTAAGACCAAGCCCCAGCCCCGAGCGAAAAAGAGTCTGTTTGATAAGGCAGACGAGCACATCTTTGCGGGCTGCGACTCCTTTATCCAGATAAGCCGAGCCGAATCCCTAAGCACAGGAGCCGATCTTTTCGGTTCCCGAGTAGAAGTCGCAGCATCTGGCTCAACTGCGCATGCACAGCCCTCTCCCAGCCACTCAATTGCCTCTCAAAAGGCTATTGTTTCAAAAGAACGGGACTCAACCCCCTCGCTGGTTCCTTCTGAATCAGTTGAGCATACAATTGACCTATCTCCCGAGGTCAAAACCCCTTCTTCACTCACATCGAGTCTAGGTGTCACATTTCCCACATTTTCTTCCTTTTCTAGGACACCTACACTATTCACAGCACATACAGGTGCACTCACCCTGAACGCAACAACCAGAGCGCAAGCTATGACGGTTGGAAGCTCTGCTACGCCCATAATGATTCCATCATTAAATGCAGGCCACACATCAGCAATCTTCACTGATGCTGTGTCAACAGTTACAACCCCCGTAACTGGTCACCCTACCTTTGAAGACGTAAACGTTCTACTAAATCGCTTCCTAGATTCCACCATTAAACCATGGGTGCAAGATGCAATGACCGCTCTAGCACAGGAATTTAGGACCACCCAAGCGGTTCGGTCTGAACAGACACCACCCCAACCTTCCCCTGAACCGTTCATCTCCCATACACAACCCATATCCTCCACCCCTCTATCCCACAAATCCATAAACCAAATTCCCATCCCTTCTATTTCTCGGGGAACCCAGAATACAGAACCAGTATTCTCCCCACACCCGACCACACCCTCCATCGATCTCTCCTCCCTATCCTTTGACACACTAGCTTCGGCTTTGCTGAACAATCTCTTAAATACCCCAGAAGACAACCTCACTCTTCATCAGCAAGCCATACTAGAAGCTCTTCTTTCCTCACCTGAAACCAAGAGTACTTGCAAGGAGAGTCTTCGTGGTCGCAAACGTTCCCATGAGGACCCCGATGATTCGGATCCTCATGAGGGGGAGAACAAGCGACCTCGATCACTTGAGCAAACTGCTCTACCAAGCCAAACTCCACAGCCAATTCAACCTGAAACCTCAACAAACCAACAGCCACCATCCACAGCCAAACTATCTAGCATGGTCGAGCTAGAAATAACATCCCGAGGCGTATCTCCCAGAGATACCAACCGAGGAGGGGATGGAAGTCCTGATGATGATACCACTGGTACATCTTCTCCATCAGGCCATCAGTTGGAACCTAGTCCTAAGCTGATGTCAACGGGCAATCCTAGTGAACCCGGTAGTGCTACACAGAAACAATCACCGCCTGAACAAAGAACTCCGTATATTTCCCCAGGCAAAGACATCCATGATGCACTGGAAGAGGCGGTGATATACGACAAATGGCCGAGAAAATGGACAGAATGGGATGATCTCCGGGTTGAAGCCGAGCAAGAAGACATGCAAAGAAAATGGTGGCTACGAGAGCTGATCAACAAATGCTCTGAAGATATTATACGGCTCGAGGACGATGAACGCAAGGAAGGGGAGAATTATAAGGAATCCCAGAAGACTCTTGAATCAGTCATAAGACAAACAGCGGGAAGACTTCCCAAGACAGAGAAACCCTGGGATAATGTTCGTATCAAAGCCCCCTTCCAAGAAGAAATCAGAGAGCATATCTGGCGTAGACCAGACAAAGTCAAGCCACTGAACGAACTGAAGCTAAGAGGCCTTACACACTTGAAAGGAAAACAGGCTGGAGGTCATCTGCATATGTTGCTGCAAAGGTCAACCGGTACACAGAGAGAACTAATGGAACAAGATCTGAAGTCGAATATTCTCCCGATTCATCAAATTCTACAAGTGAAAGCTGAAGACTATCATGGAGTAACATTCTACACTTTCAGACTTCAACGCACCGATGGGAGCGAATTCACTTGTCAAGAAAACGACTTCATCATGCTGAAACCGGATGACATCTACCAAATGCTCATGACCTACATATACCTTCCAGTCAGGCAGAGCATAGTATACAGCGAAGGCCTCGCAGCTATCAAGAGATTCATGCTTAGACAGATCCGAGTACACTCTTCACATGACCTACAGATGGCTATTGAATGCAATCTGAAGAAGACAAATCTGACAAAGCCAAAACTGTATGGTCCAGAACTCGAAGATTTCCCAGCCTACCACATCTTCTTCAAACCGCCAGCAGTCACCTACCTGAACCACAAGAACGAAAAGCGTCTGATGGTAGTCAGTGAAATCGAGAAGTACTGTGACGGAACACTGAAGATAATCAGAGAGCAGATTCTACAGATGAAGGCAAAGCTAGAGGAAAATCTTCAAGAGGCATCGTCTTATGTTCAAAAGGAACACTCTACTGTAGAGACAATTTTAAAGGCCATTGACGATCGCCTCGAAAAGAGAAATATGCTAAGACAATATGAACATGCACTTGGATTAAGGAAGCACTACTTCAAATCACAGAAGCAATAAGAGAATGACACTTGATCACAAAGGGGGAGATTGTTGGAGATATTTAATTGTCAATCAAGTTGGTCATAGATTAGCTTTATATTTAATCCTTGTATTTAAATAGTGCATAAATTAGATAGAAATCAGGCCAAGTGTTAGGCCCATTTAAACAGGCCAAAAGCCTGGTACGCCTAACCTAAACCTCGCCTATAAATAGGGAGCCGAGGTTTAGGAAAAGGTTGAACGTCGTACTTATTATTTCATAGCCTTACGCTTATCATTCTGCTGTACGTTCCACGGTTTATCAAAGAAGGTTTTACGGTGATTCATTCTGTGTTCATCTTTAACGTTTAATCTTCCTTGTTAGATCGATTATTCATTGCTGTTACAGAAACAGGGACTAACAGAGGAAGTATATTAATTATTTAATGAATTTTATGCACACAATATGGTAACCCACACCCTCCCTCGACACGAACATTTTCATCTAAAGGAAAATCATTTTTGAAATCTACATTTGACAATCTTATGCAAAAAAAAAAGTAAATCAACTCTCGTTAATGAACAAAGCTCAATTAACGAGCTTTCTATGTATCTAACATTTCATGTTGATTATGAAAAAAGAGATAACTTTGACGTTCTATAGAGGTGGACGGAAAAACAAAGAACATTCTCAATTTTATCAAAGATGACTAAACAAATGCTAGCAATGCCGGTATCAACAATTACCGTGGAACAAGAATTTAGTGCGCCAACAGATTATAGAATGAGATTGAGCACAAACTCTCTTAAAACGCTTGTTTGCTTCTACGATTGATTGAAGGCCCAACGTAAAACTCAAGAAATGAGCATCGCTCTCATCCACTACTTCATGGAGAAAATAATCGAAGATGGCGGAAATTCTGAATGATTATTATTTATTAGAAAATGTATTTCATGTCACGCCCCAGACCGCGTCTGTACCACGTAGACAACCGTCGTACAACCCAATAAGAATAACTGCAGTTCATCCTTACTAAATTGCACAAGACGTCCGATAGATACATATGCCAAAATTGATTAGTAAACATACATAACAACATCAACATACAAATAAACACATAGCAGAATATAAGTGTTTAATAAGAACCCACACAAGGGTAAAACAAGAGCTCACAGGCTCCATTAATTTATAAGTCAAAAATAGTTGCATGAGCATTATTTAATTATTTAGAAATAGAACCAGAGGAAGCACGAATCACATCTTCTCTCCATCGATCTCCCGAACAACGGGTGTAGGAAGTAAACTCTAGCTTCAACCTGAAAGGGTGATTCCCCCGAGGGATCAGTACTACAGCAAAGTACTGGTGTGGGCAAACTGTATGTAATATAACTAACGTTTCTCACATGGGACCCTCAACATAGGGTGATAGTATATGTATAGGCATAACTCTTGGCTACCCCTTTTCAAAACATATCGTATACCTATATACATATGAGTAAAATGTCCGGCCCGTGGGCCCATTTGTCTTTCAAATCATTTAGGCGTAACAGCCTCATTAAATTCACCCTTCTCATGTCCTACCCTCGAGTGAAGTCACCCGCAGGCTAACTCACCCGATAACAAAGATAATTATTGCGGGGGCCATTCAGGCTCCCATATCACAGACATGGTTTAAATTAAATTCCTAGACTAAGGAAAATACCCTATCGGGAACTCATTCCCGATCACGCATGTTTAATCATCTAAAATCTTTACTTGAGGTTCACCTACCTCGGGGACTATTCGTCCTTACAATCATAGTTTACATTCCCGGGGCTAACCCCGCCTTGAGGAGTACACATACACCCTCATCCTATGTGTAATTTGCTGGAGGTTAACACACCTCAAGGACTACACGGGCCCTTGTTACCTATATGCAATTTGATGGAGGTTAACACACCTCAAGGACTGCATTTGCCCTTGTTACCTATGTGTAATTTGCTGGAGGTTAACACACCTCAAGGACTACACGGGCCCTTGTTATCTATATGCAATTTGATGGAGGTTAACACACCTCAAGGACTGCATTGCCCTTGTTACCTATGTGTAATTTGTTGGAGGTTAACACACCTCAAGGACTACATGGGCCCTTGTTACCTATATACAATTTGATAGAGGTTAACACACCTCAAGGACTGCATTTGCCCTTGTTACCTATGTGTAATTTGCTGGAGGTTAACACACCTCAAGGACTACACGGGCCCTTGTTAACATTCAAGTATAAAGGACTCATCTTGCTCCTACAGAGTTTTACCTGACCTTACTCGGTCCCGAGTATTCACCCGTCATGTATAATCTACCACCTATCTTGCCCGGTCCATGTCTACAATTTCTTTACTAACGACTAGTCCAAGTCTTAGCGTTTAAACCGTATTCGAAGCCTGAGCAACCAACGTGGACGGGTCCTACCCGAACGGCCCACGTAAACCTACTCAAAAACTGCATATTGGGTGTATAACCCAATACCCGATCGGGTATTTACCCATACCCGGTCGGGTATGGTGAGGCAGCAGCCCCTGGAGCCAATTTTACTTGAGACCCGGTCGGGTCTATACCCATACCCGGTCGGGTCTAGTGTGGCAGTGGCTTCTGGAGCCATTTTTAATCAATACCCGGTCGGGTATTTACCCATACCCGGTCGGGTATCTCCTTTTTCTTGGCGGTCAACGCCCATTTGACCGCCCAAACGAAGTCCGATTAACGTGAAATTTTATACACATGTATTTCTTGACGTCCTTGATCCAAAAATACCATTTTGGATCCCTGGAACATCATACATAATTAATTATCACATTTTAAATCATCAAGCTTACTTAACATGCTTTTCAACTATATTTTACATATAATCATGGCATAACACATACTTAATTATCTTTAATCATTCCATGAAGTATATTCTTGATTACTTTAGGTATCTCATGCCTCACTCAAACTTTATAAAACATAAATCCATCTTCTCACAACTATTAAGAAGTACTTCATACTTATTAATCGTTTATATATTTCATTCTAGTTTATTCTTCATAACTTGATTTAATTTAATGACATGTATGATTAAGTACTTGAATCCTTCAAGAATACCATCTTGAATTACCTTAGTTAATGTCCAACTAAATCATTCATGATTATCCTTCATCACAAATATTAATAATTCTTTTACTCATTAATCATGCCATTTTCACATAACTTATAATCATTATAGCTAATCACTTGTTTAAAAACTTTTAATCATTTCTATACATATTCACATACTAGATTACTCTAGTTATCTCATACATAGTTCATGTATATATTTTTATACATTTGACAATAATATATTCATGAATAATCCACAAATAAATCTCTTATTCATTAATCATGTAATATTTCCATAAATCATATTCACCATGACTAATCATGCATTTAGTCCATTTAATCATTCCTCAAATCATGATTATGATTTTATTTAGGTAATCCCACGTTTGACCCAAGAGTTACAAGACATGTAGTCGTCCACTCACCTCGAAATGACGCTAGCAAGCTTTATCCTCTTCGTTTGGACTCCGGCGACTTTTGGAATTTTCCGGCGAAAACTCCGGCGGCTCCGGCGACTTTTCCGGCCACTCCTAGATTCTTTGAGAAGTCTAGAATACCTTGGTAAAATTCCTAACAATGTTTCACAAACCAAAAGCGGTATAAATATGAAAACCTCCCGAGAAGGTATTTTCCGGCGAACCGGTCTTACTCCGGTCATAAATCCGTTCATGGTTAAACCTATCCTTCCAACCCCTCATTCTACCTCTAGGAGTGTAGAAAAAGCTTATGTGTCTATCATATGATTTATAAAATCATATGAGATAAAAATGAAGGATGAATAATACTAATGAATTCGTTACCTTGATTTCACAACTTTTTCCTCATTTCCACCATCCTTTCTTCTTACTTGGACCTCCCTTTGTTTGAGCTCAAAGTGTAGCTATGGAATATGATGTGCAGAGATTTTTTCTTGCTTGTTGTGAATGGATTGGCCGAACTCATTGATAGGAAAAGGGGGGATGGGATTTTTTTGTCTCAAATGAGTAATAAGCTAAGGGTAGGATGAGAGGTCCACCCCTTGTCATCCATATACCAACCATCACCCTCATGAATTGTACACCACATTTCCCTTATGTGAAGCCCCTCATTTGTCAACTTGAGCCTCCTAAAACGTGGGGTGGCTCTCACTCATGTGCGAGGTCATCCCTTTATGTCCCCGAATGTACATTCGGCCCCGAAAGTTGTATTTTTCGGACTATTTAAATTATATTTTATTTTATGGGGTCAAATACAATATAATTCATTCTTCCAATTAATATTGGACTCTAAAATGAATAAATATTATCCCACTTTAATTTAGTGGTCCCTGGAATTTATTTTGGTCTATTATCTGTTAAATTGCCAATACTGTTAATGGGACCTCGTTTGGTCAACCGGTCAATTCTATGGCTCAACATGAATTTACACCATCACATATATGTTATCTAGACCAAGATGAATATAATATGTGGTCCCATAAATATCGGATTGTCCCCGCTCCTAGTGTAGACTCAACGTACAATTTACTGTTCAAGTAACAGTAAAAATGAGAACGCGTCATCTCGTAAATTCATTAGTCATTTCTCATGACTCAATATGTGTTTTGATATTTTGTGACACTTTAATAAAATGTTACACTTCTTTTTAAGTGGTCCAAAATGTAGGAGCAGATAAAATCTTATATGTTTGTCCTCAAACAAAAATATCTTCAAGGTAGGGTCCTCCAAAAGTACCCTCCTTTAATGTACCAATTTAATCATATATTTATCAACCCATTATTTTGGATTCTTAAAATATTTATATTTCTTCTGTCATTAATTCATAGTCTTCCAAATTATTAATAGTCTGAGAATTAAGAGCTCACAATTATCGATTAGTGGCCCCGACCCACGTGGCCGTCTAGTTGTCATTCTATATATCACTAGGGTCCATGACACATTCCTACTATCAAAAAGTATTGTTTAGATCAACATAAATTTTTTATACGCTAAGAATACCACGGGTGGTCCCCGCTCCCGGTGTGGGTCCCGCGTCTGATCAATAATCCTTTATTAATTTAAGACAAGAATTATATCTTTCTAATTTATCAAGGCTACTCTAGTCTTGATTTACCTCCTTTAACCATGTACTTGATGAAAAAAAATCTCTGGGTAAAAATTCGGGTCCAGTGTTACATTTCATGTTTTAAATTTTTTTCAATTCTCAATTGTACTGCATATTTCAAATAAATATACTATTGTTGAAATAAAGTTGAATTAGTCATCTTCTGACTATTCATGATTAGGAACACATTATCATCATTGTTAATATAAATAAGAAATCATAATTATGATTTCTAGATGGTAATTGTATGGCTCACAATTAGCCCCTAATCTATACAAGATTATATTTTCCCCTATAAATAGAAGTATTCTCCTTCATTGTAAAGACACCATTAGAACATCTCTAATACACCTCTATCACCAAGTGTTCATACTATATTTTCTCTCCCTGATCTTCTGCTTATTTGCTTCCATTTTATAACACGTTATCAGCATGAATTTGCTCCAAATTCCGAAAATCATCATCTTCCAAGCAGGTATATATTTTTACGAATTTATCAACTTATCTGGAAAAAAAACAGAGGATGAGAAGTATAAACATATTTATATATATATATATATTCAAAACTATAAGAAGTATGCTCTGTGGTTGCCCAACCGTTGGGATCCTCCATATCAGAAAATTATAGCTATATTTTATATAAAATAGGTTGAAGAGGATAGAAGAAAGACATACCTTTATACTAATATGTTCTTGAAATAAAATCTGCTCTTAAATATGAACTTTTGCTTCGGAAGAATATTTGACAGCATATATTAGAGATTTTCATGTATATATGAAATAAATCCGTATGAATATAAGAAGAGCATAAGCTTATCAAACTAATTCATTGATTATACATTTGAGTAGTTGGTAGTCGGGCCATATGCCCATACAAATTGATAAAGAGCATTTGTTTTACTTGTCTTCTTGCTTTGTGAAGACACTCACATAATTAATGTCATCATATAATGAATACATACTCCGTACATGGGAGAATTGAAGATAAATGAGTATATGAAACCAAATTGACATCTTATTTCTCTTCTTAACAAAATACTCCGTAAATTACAAAGTATACAAAGAGTAAAAATACTTGAATAGCTATAATCTAATTATTATATTAAAAAGTCAATGTATGTGTCATTTCCATAGCCTGAAAAAGAAACATATGCATGTGACATTTGTCTTATTAAATTAAATGAAAAAAGATAACATGATATAAGAGATCAAATACAAACCATGCTTAAAATACTAACCTACAAACTCAATAATATGCGGCACTTTGAACTTCAATATGCAGTAAAAATAATGTAAAGATGCAGTGGTGAGATCACATACAAACTAGTACTCCCATTCAATCATCTTTACATTATTTGTATTGCACATTGAAGTTCAAAGTGTTTCATATTATTTAAGTCATAAAATAGCAATTTCATATTTAAATTATTTGTATTGCATATTGAAGTTCAAAGAGTGCATCTTTACATTATTTGTACTGCATATTGAAGTTCAAAGTGTTGCATATTATTGAGTTTGTAGGTTAGTAAATTAAGCATGGTTTGTATGTGATCTCACCCCTATATATATATATATATATATATGTGTGTGTGTGTGTGTGTGTGTGTGTGTGTGTGTGTGTGTGTGTGTGTGTGTGTGTGTGTAAATACTACATACAATAATAGTAACAATAATATATCGCATAATTATAAAATGAGACTTATACTTTGAAGATAAAATACGGCTAATACTCTAATAGTTTAATAGCCTACATACTTGTATATAAATACGTACTTGTATATACTTTGAATAAATGGGACTTATAATACGGCTCTACTAATAATAAAATAATTACGTACTTGTATAGTTTAATAGCTATATATGGCTAATACTCTGTAAATAAGTAATAACATGAAGATATTTACTACTCTATGTACTTGATTTGAGCCAACTCACGGGTGTACGATTGTGATAACTCTGTACATGCATTCTGAAATTATGGGACAACTATATAGTACAGAAAACACCCATGCTAATCGTATTATTATAGTGTTTATTATATAAACATATTATGTGTATCTGATCGTATTATCTATACAAACTATTAACTAATTAATTTTAAATTAATTATGATATAGTTCATCCATGGCTAATATTAGCAAAAGAGAGTTCGATGTCCTTGATTTATCTGGTCAAAAGTACTTGGAATGGAAAGTTGACGTTTTAGCACATTTAAAAGCAAATGCCCTCGAAAACACAATTGCTGAAAATAATTCAGCTACTCCCCAAAATAAGGCAAAAGCCATTATCTTTCTTCGTCACCATCTTCACGAAAGTTTGAAGTCTGAGTATTTATTGGTAGATGACCCTAAAGAATTATGGGATAATCTCTAAGAAACGTATGGCCATCAACAAAAGGTCCTTTTACCAAAAGCTCAATATGACCGGATCAATTTACGATTCCAGGATTACAAATCTATAAGTGACTACAATTCTGCCTTGTTCCAAATATCAGTATGTCCACTATATTTTGGAAAAAAAGTGGAAAAAGCTATGTCCACTATGCATCTTTCAAATATGCTTTTACAAGAGCAATATAGACAAAAGCACTTTCAAATGTATTCTGATTTAATATCAGTATTACTACTTGCTGAGACGAATAATGACATTTTGATGAGAAACCACAATATGAGACCCAGGGGTTGGCCCTTTTAGTTTTGGTCCACAAAATCATGGTTCAAAACATGAATCAAATGCAACCCATAGTGGTGCTCGTGGACATTTCAAACGTAGTCGTGGTGTTGGTCGTTATAATGGACCTAGTCGGGGAAACAAACAGAGTAGTAGCTCTTACAAAGGCAAGGGAAAGCAAAATCCCCATCAAACAAGAGGCCCAGCGAAATCTTCAGAAAAGGCTAAAGTCACTTGTTTAAAATGTGGCACGTCGGGACATTGGGCAAATAAGTGTCGCACACCTACACATTTGGTTGACTTATATAAATCATCTCTAAAAGGAAAGAATGTGAAAACTAATTACGTCAACGAAAACGTTCCACCAATGCCCACATTTAATATGTCTGATTTCTATATGGATAATAATGAGATGAACACTGACATCGTCATGGGTGAAAAATAATAATAATAAAAATGAAATTATTCTGTTATGTAATATATTCTACAATAAAAATTTGTTGTATTGTAATTTTTATTTGGTGTGCTTGTTTCGGTTGTAATAGTTATGTACAATTTAATGAATAAATTCTTGTTTGTATTGCAATATTGAACTAATATTTGTTCATTTTTATCTTTTTAAAGATATGGAGTTAACTGAAATTTCCCCAAATGGCTTTGAACAATGTTTAATAGACAGTGCCACAACGCACACCATTTTGAGACATAGAGATTATTTTTCTCATATGACATTAGTTGATGCTAATGTCAATACAATCTGAGGTGTTGCTAAACTCATTGAAGGTTCTGGAATAGCCTGTGTAATTCTCCCAAAAGGGACAAAATTAATAATTAAAGACGCTTTATACTCCAATAAATCACGAAGAAATCTTTTGAGTTTCAAAGATATGCGTCTAAATGGTTTTCACATTGAAACCATGTCTGAAAATCAAAAGGAATATTTATGTCTAACGACAAATAGATCTGGCAATAAATACATTTCTGAAAAAATGTCAGCATATTCCTCTGGACTATATTATACATATATTAATCCAATTGAGATAAATGTGGTATCTAAAATTAATGACCACAATTCCTTTATCTTGTGGCATGACCGTTTAGGTCATCAAGGCAGCACTATGATGCACAAAATTATTCAAAATTCACTTGGACATTCATGAAATAATGTCAAAATTCCACAATCAAGTGATTTCTCATGCACTGCCTGTTCTCTTGGCAAATTAATTATCAGGCCATCTTTATATAAAATTGGAGTTGAATCTCCTGCATTTTTAGAAAGAATTCAAGGAGATATTTGTGGGCCAATTGCCCCTCCGTGTGGACCCTTTCGATACTTTATGGTGTTCATTGATGCATCAACACGTTGGTCACACGTCAGTCTTTTATCGACTAGAAATGTTGCATTTTCAAATCTCCTTGCTCAAATTATTCGTTTGAGACAACAATTTCTGGATTATTCAATAAAGAAAATCCGACTTGATAGTGCAGGGGAATTTACATCCCAATCTTTTAATTACTATTGCATGTCAATTGGGATTGATGTGGAACATCCAGTTCCACATGTGCATATACAAAATGGTCTTGCTGAATCCTTAATTAAGCGATTACAGTTAATTGCTAGACCATTATTGATGAATTCCAGATTACCATCATCTGCATGGGGATATGCTATAATGCATGCTGCAAATTTAATTCGGCTCAAGCCAACTGCATATCATAAATTTTCCCCATTGCAATTAATATCTGGTAAAGAACCAAATATATCACACATAAAAATATTTGGTTGTTCTGTGTATGTACCAATTGCTCCACCTTATCGTACTAAAATGGGTACTCAAAGAAGGCTGGGAATTTATGTTGGTTTTAAATCTCCCTCAATTATTAATTATCTAGAACCTATGACTAGTGACTTATTCACCGCACGGTTCGATGACAGTCATTTTGATGAAACAGTATTCCCAGCCTTAGGGGGAGATAATAAAGAAATGGACCCACGTACGAAAGATATTACTTGGAATGCAACAGATTTATCTTTTCTTGATTCTCGCACAAATGCTTGTGAACAAGAAATTCAAAAGATCATTCATTTACAAAGTGTTGCAAACCAATTGCCTGATGCTTTCACAGACTCAAAGAAAGTGACAAAGCCACATATTCCAGCTATGAATACTCCTTCTCGAATAGAAATTCCTGCAGAGATTAGCGAAAGAACTCTTGCTAATGAATCTATGATACGTAAAAAACGTGGTAGACCACTTGGTTCAAAAGATTTGAAACCAAGAAAATTTAAAAAGCAAGACGTAGTTTGTGATGCCAAAGAAGTTCAAACTTCTCAAGAAGAAAATGAACATTTTGAAAATATCGGCTTTGAAGATAACATCAATAATAATGATACCTCAAAAGAGGATCCAATCACCTTTGAAGAGGTAAATATTCCAGATAAAGATAGAAACGTCGATAATTTCGAAATTTCAATCAATTACGTTTCTAATGGAATACAATGGAATAGAAAAGATATTGATGTTAATGATATATTTTCATATGTCATCGCCACAGATATAATGAATGAACACGATGACAATGAGCCTAAATCTATTGATGAATGTCGTCGTAGAAACGATTGGCCAAAATGGAATGAAGCGATTCAGGTAGAACTAAAATCGCTAGAAAAGTGTAATGTTTTTGGACCAATTGTCCACACGCCAAAAGGCGTAAAACCTGTAGGTTTTAAATGGGTGTTTGTGCGTAAACGCAATGAGAAAAATGAAATCGTTAGATATAAAGCCCGACTTGTTGCCCAAGGTTTTTCTCAAATGCCAGGAATCGATTATGATGAGACGTATTCTCCAGTAGTTGATGCTACTACTTTACGATTTTTAATTGGCATGTCTGTTTGTGAAAGGCTGCAAATGCGGCTAATGGATGTAGTGACCGCATATTTATATGGTTCACTCGATACAAACATATATATGAGAATTCCTGGAGGCTTTAAAATATCTGATGCTTATAGCTCGAAATCTCGAGATGTATTTTCCATAAAATTGCAAGTCATTATATGGATTAAAACAATCTGGACGCATGTGGTATAACCGTCTAAGTGAATATTTGATCGAAGAAGGATATAAAAACGATCCTATTAGTCCATGTGTTTTCATTCAGCGGTCTGAATCAGGAATCGCCATAATTGCAGTATATGTTGATGATTTGAATATAATCGGAACTCCCAATGAAATTGAAAATACTGTTAAATATCTCATGAAAGAATTTGAAATGAAAGACCTTGGGAGAACAAAATTTTGTCTCGGCATTCAAATTGAACATTTGAGAAATGGTATTTTTATCCACCAATCAAATTATACCGAGAAACTTTTGAAGCGGTTTTACATGGAAAAAACTCACCCACTCAATTCCCCGATGGTGGTTCGATCTCTCAATGTGCATGATGATCCTTTTCGACCTTGTGAAGATGATGAAGAAATCCTTGGTCCTGAAATACCATATTTGAGTGCTATTGGAGCGTTAATGTATTTGGCTAATAATACACGACCAGATATTGCTTTTTCTGTAAATTTATTAGCCGGGTACAGTTCTTCTCCGACAAGAAGACATTGGAATGGCGTCAAACATATATTCCGCTATCTCAATGGTACAATCGATCTTGGATTGTATTTCAAGAATGGTGCAAATGCCACTTTAAGTGGCTATGCCGATGCAGGATACTTGTCTGATCTACAAAAGGCAAAATCACAAACAGAATATGTATTCACCTATGGTGATACCGCTATCTCATGGAGATCGATGAAGCAAACATTAACTGCCACATCATCAAATCATGCAGAATTAATTGCTCTTTATGAAGCAGGTCGAGAATGTGTTTGGTTGAGATCAATGATCCAACACATACAAAATAAATGTGGTATAAAATCATTTACTTGTAATCCTACTGTGATTTATGAAGATAACACAACATGTATAGCTCAGATCAAAGAAGGTTACATCAAAGGGGATAGAACAAAGCATATAGCACCAAAACTTTTCTCCACACATGATCTTGAGAAAGAAGGAACAGTTGATGTCAAACAAATCAAGTCATGTGACAACCCTGCTAATTTATTCACAAAGTCATTGGCACCGAAGAAATTTGAAAAACTGGTCCACAAAATTGGAATGTGTCGTCTTCGTGATATATGTTAAATTGAGGGAGAGTAATATAATGCACTACACTCTTTTTTCCTTCGTCGGGTTTTTTATCCCACTGAGTTTTTACTGACAAAGGTTTTTAACGAGACAGTACATTATAATACCATGATACTAATACCCCAGAATAATTAGAAGATGACCATTCAAGGGGGAGTGTTGAAATAAAGTTGAATTAGTCATCTTCTAAATATTCATGATTAGGAACATATTATCATCATTTTTAATATAAATAAGAAATCATAATTATGATTAGGGATGGACTAAACCGGGTCGGGCCGATCCGGAACCAGCCTGGCCTGTTACTATTTGGGCCCGGACCGGACCGGGACCGGTTGGCCGGTTCCGTGCTTTTAGCCCGTTTGGACGGGTCGGGCGGGCCGAGCTCGAGTCCAACTTTTGGTGAACCAGGCCGGGCAGTTCACGCCGGGCCCGGTTCAATTTTTTTTTTTCAATTTTTTTTGCTTTTCTAGGTTAGGGTTGGGTGTTTTGGGGGGGTTTGGGGTGGGGGTGAAGGGGGGGTCGGGTGTTAATAAGAAACCAAAAAAAAATGAACTTGACCCGAGCCCGGCCCGAACCCGGTATCAACCTGGGCCAGTTCCGGGTAGGAGTGGACTCGGGTCGGGCCAACCGGCCCGGAACCGGGCCGGCCCGCTACTGTGCGGGCCCGGACCGGCCTGGTTTGGCGGTTAGTTCACGGTTCGGGCCACCTGGCCCGGTCATCAAGCGGTTCGGTCCCGGGCTCAGATTTTGGTGAACCGGCCCGGCCGGGTCGGGCCCGGGCCGGGCCTCAACGATCACTTTTTTAAAAAAAAAATAAAATAAATAAATAATAGAAGGCTCCATAGTCGTTGGGAGACCTCCCAAACGGCTCTATAGCCGTTGGGAGCATAGGAGGGGGGGTCTGGGGGTTAGGGGGGTGGGGTGGGGGTGGGGGTGGGGTATACAAAAAAACCTATTTATACTCCTATTTTCTATACATTTTTTACACCTTTTCTTCTACAACTCTTCCTACTCTCTAAATTCTCTATTCTCTCAATCTCTCATATTCAATCATCTTCATTCTTCATCTTCTTCAAATTCTTTCTACATATATATAATTTATATAATTATTATATCTACTTATATATTAATTATCTACTTATAAATATATACTTATACACATTCATATTATAATTCTTTACGCATTATATTATATATACTATATATAGTTATACATTATATTATATATTACTTATAATATATTTACACATTATATATTTATATATACTATATATATAAATTACTTAATTTATATATACACTTCTCATTTATCTATTAAATTACTTAATTGTTTCATTTGTCATATTAATATTAGTTAAAGTAGTTAATTGTTTCATTTGTCATATTAATATTAGTTAAAGTAGTTAATTGTTTCATTTGTCATATTAATATTAGTTAAAGTAGTTAAAGTTAATTGTTTCATTTGTCATATTAATATTACTTAAACTACTTAATTGTTACATTTCTCATATTAATATTAGTTAATTGCTACATTGCTCATTAACGTAGTTAATTTTTACATTTCTCATATTACTTAATTGCTACATTGCTCATTCAAGTAAAAAAAAAGTAGTTAATTTTTACATTTCTCATATTAGTTAATTACTTAATTGCTACATTTTTACATTTCTCATATTAGTTATTTGCTACATTTCTCATTAAAGTAAAAAAAAAGTAGCTAATTTTTACATTTCTCATATTAGTTCATTGCTACATTTTTACATTTCTCATATTAGTGAATAGCTACATTTCTCATTAAAGTAAAAAAAAAGTAGTTAATTTTTACATTTCTCATATTACTTAATTGCTACATTTTTACATTTCTCATATTTGTTAATTGCTAATATTTGTTCAATTTTAAAGATGGAGCGTGGTAGACATTCTGTAGATGTGGGTAATCTCCAACGCAACCGCAAGAGGGAGATTGCATCGACTCGATCTACTTCACGCAAAGGCAAAGGTAAAGCGCGGACCGAGTCTTCTTTTCAAAGTCGAGATGATTTTGAAACGGATTACCAACGGCGAGATGATATGATGATGTCCGACGAGCAACTACAACACCTATTGTCCCAAAATGATCCACGTTTTGCACAAGAACAACAATTCCCGACAACCATCGATGAAGAGGAGCTCGAGGATTACGATGCGGAGGAGGACGCGGGGGGCGACGGGACTCCGGATGATGAGCAAGAGTTGGAGGACGAGGGCCGTTCAACGACTACAACCCAAATTGGTAAGAAATCTAAATATCCTATTATTGAAAACAATTCTACAAAAAGGAAAGACGAAAAAACCGAAAAATGGTACGCAAGTTGCAATCATTGCAAGAAAGAGTTTAGCTTGGAAACTTCTGGCGGATACGGGAGTCTCAAAAGGCATCTACAGTCCGCCCACTTTGTGGAGTATGCGAAAATAGACAAAGGCAAGAGGAAGCAAACACAAATATCGAGGTTTGCAAATTCTCAACCCTTTGGTAATTTTTCCTATGATGATAAAAAATATTTGACTGGTATGTCTCATTTAATTGTTAAAGAAAATTTACCCTATGATTTTTTCGAAAGTCTTGCTTTAAGAGATTATGCTCAAGGTACTTTAAATCCTCAATTTAGAAATTATAGTCGCAAAACGATTAAAAAAGAAGTTATAAGGCAATATAACTTGGAAAAAGAAAAATTACAAATATTTTTCGCAAACTTTGATGGACATGTTAGTATTTGTAGCGATATATGGGAGAATACTTATCATCATTTATATTATTTGGGTCTTACTGCACATTATATTGATGATGATTGGAATATGCATAAACGTGTTCTTGTTTTTCGTGAATTCAATGATCGTCACACTGCTGATAATATTTATATTCTCATTGAACGTATTTTAATTGAGTATAATTTGATGGATAAGGTGTTTGCTGTAGGTTTTGATAATGCTAGTAATAATACTGCTGCTATACCTAGATTACGTGAATTGTGTAGTGCTTCTACATTGATGGGTAGGTTTTTTCATCAACGTTGTGCATGTCATATTCTAAATTTGTGTGTACAAGATGGCTTAGCGGCATTAGGAAATGCTTTGGAGGTAGTGAAGGGGGGAATTAAATTGATTTGGGCTAGCACTCCACTAAAAATGCAATGGCGGCAATATTTGAAGGATAGACGTGTGAATTATTGTGCTTTTCCTAAAGATTTGTCTATTCGTTGGAATAGTACTTATAATTTAATTCAAGTATTTGTTAGATATAAAGATCATTTTCCAGCTTTTTTAAGACAAACTTGTAACTATATTATAAACCCGGCTGACATCGACACTTGTGAAAAAATTGTTAATGTTTTGGCATATTTTAATAACACAACTCTAACTTTTAGTCATGTTTATAAACCTACCGCAAACGAATTTTTTGTTGAAGTTGTTAATCTCGCCGGCGCTTTTTGTGAATTTTCCGAAGCCACTTACGTTAGTTATTTTTGTGATTTCATGAAACAAAAGTTTTTAAAATATTATTCACATATTCCGCATATATATGGTATTGCATTTGTTCTTGATCCTCGTTATAAACTTGCTTACTTGGCAAATTGTATAGATTACTATTATGCTTCTTTTTTTCCAACTCAAAAGTTCGATGATAATCCCATCGACCCTAAACAAGAATTCAACGAGGTTAGTAATTTATTTCATCAATTGTATAATGAATTTCATGCACAATATGGTAATGCACCCCCTCCCATGCAACGAACATCTTCTTCATCTAAAGGAAAATCACTTTTAAAATCTGCTTTTGGTTCTCTTTTGAAAAAAAGTAGAGCAACTCCCGCTACTGAACAAAGCTCAGGTAACGAGCTTTCTTTGTATCTCACATTGAATGTTGATTATGAAGTTAGTGATGACTTTGACGTTCTTAAGTGGTGGAAGGAAAATGAAAGAACATTCCCGATTTTATCAAAGATGGCTAAGCAAGTGCTAGCAATGTCGATATCAACCGTTGCCGTGGAACAAGAATTTAGTGCGGCCGGCAACGTCCTAACCGATTATAGAACGAGGTTGAGCCCGAACTCTCTTGAGACACTAGTTTGCTTTCACGATTGGTTGAAGGCCCAACGAAGAACTCAAGAAATTACCATCACTCCCACCCGCCACTTTATGGAGGAAACAACTGAAGGCGGAGATTCCGATTGATTTTTTATTACAAAATATATTACATTTTTTAAATTCATCCTAATTCTCAATTGTACTTCTTATTTGAAATAAATATACTTGAATTCGAATATAATATATTGTAATTGTAATAAGAATTATTCTAATAATATAATATATAATAAAAAATAAAAAAAAATAAAAGGCCCAGCCCGGCGGGCAGCCCGGCCCGTGAACCGGGCGGGTGACCCGAACTGAACCAGACCCGAGGTTATCCGGGCCGGTTCCGAGCCTACCTTCCTTGAACCGAGGCCCGGCCGGTTCTGGACCCGAACCGGGCCCGGCCCAAACCGAGTCCACCACTAGTTCCGGGCCCAACATTTTGCAAAAAAAAAAAAAGCCCGCACGGGCCCGGAACCAAACCGGCCCGAGTCCATCCCTAATTATGATTTCTAGATGGTAATTGTATGACTCACAATTAGCGCCTAATCTATACAAGATTATATTTTCTCCTATAAATAGGAGTATTCTCCTTCATCGTAAAGATACCATTAAAACATCACTAATACACCTCTATCACTAAGTGTTCATATTATATTTTCTCTCCCTGATCTTCTACTTATTTGCTTCCATTTTATAACAACTTTATCTTTTTTATACCATCTCCGTTAGGGGTGGACTCGGGCCGGGTGGCCCGACCCGGAACCCGCCGGGTCAGTGACCGATCCGAATAGGCCCGGCCCGTGGGTTTTCCGGTCCAAGCTCGGGTCACCCAAAACAAGGTCCGACCCGGCCGGGTCCATGCCTGGTTCGGGCCAAAACTTTTTTTTTTCAATTTTTTTTCAATTTTCGAGTTGGGCTGGGTATTTTGGACCATTTGGGGTGTTTTGTGGGGTTGGGGTGGGAGGGGGGTTAATTAGGAAGAGGAAAACAAAAAAATTATAATGGGCCCGGAACAGACCAAACCGGACCCGGTGGTTACCCGAGCCGGTCCCGGGTCAACCATTTCTGAACCGCCGGCCCGCCCGGGCCTAGGCCTGACCCGGAACAGACCCAAGTCCACCCCTAATCTCCGTCCCAATTTGATTTACAAAAATTCCTATTTTGATTGTCCCAAAATGGTTTTCCACTTTCTATTTAAGATATGTAAATAAGAATAAAGTTACAAATTTACCCTTACTTTTTCACCATTAACCTAAAGACATCTATTTTTAAAAAAATGGACAAAAATGTAAAAAGCAAGCATCAAAGTTTGCCATTCAAAGTTTGCAATTCAATTCGAGACGGAATGAGTATTAAACAATTCTTGAATTAATTTGTTAAGAACAAAAAAAATTGTCAGATACACGGCCAGCCCGGTACGGCAGTACCCGTCCAGGTGGACCAGCTCGACCTAGACCCAGTAGCTACACAGGCCAATTCCAGGCCTCAACTTCCCAAAAAAGCCCAGCCCAAGACCCAGCCCAGACCGGGCTCATCCCTAGTCCCAGTCCATCTATTAAGAGTATGTGTGTGTTTTGCTTTTCCTTTTTATATTTTTATTTATAAATCAATAGAAATAAGGACTAGAGACAAGGGAGTTCGAAAGAAACAAAGTGAGAACGGTTTGTGAATATTCCAAACATTATTTTAATTTAATCGATTGTCAAATCCTTGCACAATGCATCTCGAGCCACTAGGCAAAAACCCAGGAGGTCTGCAATCCCACCAAGGTTCAATTTGCTTCCCGTTAAAAATAAACTAAAATTTACAAAACCCTGCCATTAGAAGCAGCTCATACACCCATGTTGCTCTGTCTTTTTTGCTGATCGAACCTAGTAACCATAACCTGGGAATAGAAATCATTGGAGCTTCTTAGTGCTGGTCTTATTACTTTGGCATAACATGTGTGATTTTAGCTGCAAATGATGAAATTGTAACAGAAATGAACTAAAAAGTGCTAAATATATTTTTACGTCGCTGCAAATATGTTCTCTGCTATATCCAGCATATTCCTGCAAAAATTAATTTATTGTTCTCCGGATGTGGGAATCACACTTTTTTTCATTAATCCCTCCCAGTGTCAAAAGCACAAGGATGGGTGCTTAAAGCGCATCAGGTGAGGCGCTATAAAGGTGCAGCACCTAATAATCCTCCAGGCGAGGGTGAATAGGTCAGGCCTAATATAAGCACAAGCACAAAGGTACAGCAGCGCAGACCTGATTTGCCTGGGCTGGGAAAGGCTTCTCAGCTTATTTTTCTTTTTGAAAATAAGTTCTGGGCCTACTTTAAATCAACTCATACGAAGTATTAAAAGAGATATAGCCTATCCAAGTATTAGGGCAAAACAACATAAAGCCTGTTAAACCCTCTTCACATTCGGTGTATTAGTGAGTCTGGTCAACCGTAGAAAGATGGTATTCTTTTTTCATGTGTTGGAATCACATCCCAGTACCCCACAGGTCCACACATCATGCAGAAGGTAACCTGCTAATTTTCTTTCTTTCTTGTTCTTTTAATTTCTTCATTTCTTATTTTCTATATTTTCTTTCCTTTTGAATGTAAACCCCATATCTTCTTTCTGTATTTCTATCTTTACATTGAAAAGACTATATAATTATTCAATTAACTCATTTTCTGTCATTGTCTTCCATTTTTTTCTCTGGACAAATTTTTTTCTTTTATTCTTGTTTGTTTCTTTTTCTAACTTGTTTTATATTTTAAAATTATGGCTATGATTTGTATTTGTAGTATATTGACAGTAAAGCTTCAAGTGTTGCTAGGAATGTTGAAACGAAATGCTGAGGATATGGACTCCTCATGAGTCAGGCGCAGACTCTCGCACGATGAGCGCATCCCGCGACTTTGAGTACCTTATTGCTCCTGCTCTGTTTACCAACAACAGTGACATGACTGCAAGATTCCCAACCTAGCTGATCGGGGCTTACTTGACCACTTGAGAGATTTAATACACAAGGGTTTTAGACAGCTATGCTTTTTCTACAAATTTTGCTCACTCATTAATTTTTTTTCCTTCATTAGCATTTGTACTTTCATTTACATCATAATAAAATATTTCCTTTTTTCTGCAAAAC